AAAAAAAAAACCAAAGAAATCAAAGCCAAATTAAGGGTGTATTTGGTATGATGGAAGATGTTTTTAGAAGTTATTTTCCGGTGTTTGGTTGTCAAAAAGTATTTTCCGGAGAAAATAAATTTTACCAATACTCTTAGATTTTCTAACCATAGAAATGCCTTTTGCATTGATTCCATCTGCAGGTAGGATTGAAGTATGGTTGTGCTGTAGAAGATGTGATTACTGGATTAGCAATACAATGCAGAGGTTGGAAATCAGTGTACTTCAATCCAGAGAGGAAAGGCTTCTTAGGTCTTGCTCCAACAACACTTTTGGAAACTCTAGTACAACATAAGAGATGGGCAGAGGGTAATTTTCAGATATTCCTTTCAAAATACTGCCCTTTCATATATGGCAAAGGCAAAATCCCACTCAAACTTCAGATTTCATACTGTAACTTCTTGCTTTGTGCTCCAAATTGGATGCCTACCTTATATTATACTATTGTCCCTTCGCTTTGCNATATATGTACATATGAATGTATATGTATATGCACTCTTTATCCTTGTTCGATACTTGTGATAGTTGTGACACTGGGTATTAGGCATTGTAGACAGTTGTCGTCGTGTTTAGACCTTGTCTCAGATATTACATTTATAATATTGGTTTTGAGACTATTTCTGCTTTCATATTATATCATGATTCTGTTAAAGATTTAGATAATCTGTTTTACTTATGGTTGTTTGAGTGTTGGCTTGCCTAGCGAGGAGGTTAAGCATCATCACGACCTTTAGTAGGATTTTGGGTGAATCCCACTAAATCTTTAAAGAAGGGAAGCCTTGGTGTAACTTGTAAAGTTTCTGCCATGTAACCAGGAGGTCACGGGTTCGAACCGTGGAAACGATCTCTTGCAGAAATACAGGGTAAGGCTGCGTACAATAGACCATTGTGGTTCATCCCTTCCCCGGACCCCGAGCACAGCAAGAGCTTAGTGCACCGGGCTGCCCACTAAATCTTTACCAGAATCATGATATATTTTGAATGAGCTGTCATGTTTATTTCTAAGAACTAAAAATTGGGGACAACGATAACCTAATACAGTCATATAGTAGGTTAGCGAAATCCTACATAAAGAGAGAATGACTGGCAGGCAACCTTGCAGCAACATTTATGTATGTTCTTCTAAGTATAGTAAGCCATTTAATTTCTGCATATAACAGTTGTCAAGCCCCTGGATGCTACCATATGCACATGTTGCCATCGCCACTACAACATACAGCTTAGCAGAACATCTATGGTGTGGAGGCACATTGAAAGGATGGTGGAATGATCAAAGACTCTGGATATACAAGAGATTGACTTCTTACCTATTTGCCTTCTTTCAAACCATCTTTACATTGGCAGGGTTCGTCAAGTCAGGTTTTGTAATCACAGCAAAAGGTTCAGATAATGAAAATGTCAGTCAAAGATATGAGCAAGAAATCATGGAGTTTGGCACTACTTCCTCATCGTCAACACCTATGTTCAATGTTTTAGCAACCATAGCAGTGTGGAACCTTTTCTGTCTTGGAGATGTCATGTTAAGGGTTATTATGGATCCACATGAGGCTGCAGTTATTGTAGAATCTCTTGGTATTCAGATTCTTTTAACGGGGTTAATAGTAGTTGTTAACTTGCCTTTATATGAGGGGCTTTTCTTGAGGAATGACAAGGGATGTATGCCCTTTGCTGTCACCTGTAGTTCTCTTGTCTTAGCTACCTTTTTGTATCTGTTAGCCAAATACTGATCATGTCACACTTTTCAGTTATCAGTTCATGTATGTACTCTGTTGTACTGTCAGCACCACTGTATGTAATATAAAAAGTTGGGCGTTCCTATATATATAGTGACGAAGTGCCATAGCTGTGGAGTCCTCAATGTAAAAACTAATGAACATTCATTTATTGATGATGGAGGATTATGTGACACAAACGAGCAGAAATGCTAACTATACGGAATGTTAAGGGAAACAAGTGTTTGCTCGATTTTCATGGTATTATTAGGTTATTGCTTATATGGTTTTACATAATGGATACAAGCATTCAGATACCTCACTACTTTTGACGCAATGTGGCAGAACTCAGCAGGCATGCAACTGTGCAGCAGCTAGACGTAAATATAGTACAAACTATTCCAGTTTCAAAGCGATGAACGTGCCACCATCCTTATAGGCCTGCAATATGCAAGACTATATGATTAGAGACACATTACCTGAATCAAATGCAATCTTTACATGGAGCTGATTGCAGTGAGTAAACTGCAGTGTAAAGACTCTTATCTAAGTTTAGGTAACTTCAACTCAAACTATTTTGAGTTCGCTGATGTTTCTAGGAAATTTCACCAAATAATTATTCCCCAATCAGAATAGAGGTATCAACTTTGAAAGACAATCACGCGTGTAGAACACTAGAACTTTTATCCAATCATGGACTTCCTCTTTCATTCTTCATCTTGTGTAGAGTTGACTATATTTATTTTAATTATAATCAAAGACGGAAATGACTTCTTCTTTTTTATAGTTCCTGAACCTAGTAAAGCAAAACATATTCCGCTGCAAGCACCAGAAACTGTAGGCCGTATTTGGCATAATGAAAAATTTTATACAAAGGGAAGTATTTTCTAAAATCACTTTCTACTGTTTTATTGGACATAAAGGTTTATGGCATCTGCTCGCTAAGGAGGTCATGGGGCAAAGCATTTTGACTGGTCTTTTCTGTAGATGTGAAAGAGAGTGAAAAACAATTTTAGCATGCTAGAGAGAACTATAGTTCTCAAAAGATGCTTTATTCCTCACCAGACAAAGAAGAGCGAAAAATATGAGTTGATTCCTGAATTCTGTCCTGCACCACTAGGGTCTAAGATGTACGTGTACGTTTTCCTATGATAATACAAATAAGCTCTTCAAACAAAGTTCCGGTTTATACTTACAATGTTGAGTTAAGGTTCAAAAGTTCAGGATGCAAATTTTCTGAGCATAAAATACAGTGACTGGATCATTTATCCCACCAGTTTCAGATTTATGTTTGGGGTTAAGCAAAAGCACTTGTAGCAAAAAGGATTAGAAAAAGAGAAAAACAAACTTGTGGCAAAAAATCTAAAGAGGTTGAATAAGCCAATAAATCATAAAATTCACTAAAGAAAGGGATTACATGAGCTCTACAACAAGAGCAGATGCGCCTCCTCCCCCATTGCAGATTCCTGCAACACCAAACTTCCCATTCTTGTGCTTCAATACCTGAACCATAGTTACAATTGTGTAAGACAAAAACAAAATACAGCAACTTTGTGCCGATACTATTTAGTTGTCCATTACTACAACAATCTATCAATATCCATCAATAAATATATGGTCAAATCATATTTAACCAATAAATAACACAAACTGGACAAGTCTAATTGCTTAAGCATAATAGTTTGAGAAAGAATGTAATTGCTTAAGCATAAGAGTTTTAGGAAGATGTGGCCAACATACCCCTAAAAGAGATACCAGGATCCTAGCTCCACTGCACCCCAAGGGATGTCCCAATGACACAGCTCCACCATGTGCATTTAGCTTTCCCTGACAGCGGGACAATATTATAACAGGATTGAGAAAGAGGACGTGATAAAATTGGAAGAGGAATTACAGATTTCAAACAAAATTAGCACATTTCTTTGTTTTCTCCAACTAAATTTGCCACAATAAATTCGCTACATAAGCAGAGAGTAACAATAAGCAACTATTGATTTTCCAAAGGGAAGGGTCAAAAGCAAAGAGCAGAGAAATTGGAGACTAACGGAATTGAGATTGAGCAGTCTTTTGTTGGCAAGAGCCACCACCTGCGAAGCAAACATGATAAATTATGGCCAAGCGAGAAAAAAATACAAATCAGAAGGCATAGTACAGATCCTTACAGAGAACGCTTCATTTATTTCATAATAGTCAATTTGAGATGACTCAAGGCCAGAATTCTTAATTGCTTTTGGTATTGCAAGAGCTGGAGCTGTTGTAAATAACTCAGGTGCCTGCCCAGTAAATCTTGTCAGACAAGTTGCAGTAAGTTGTAAAACTCAGACAACCAAAAAAAAAAACATCTCTTCTACCTGAGCTGCATCTGCAAATCCTCTGATCCTACCAATTACTTGCAATCCAAGTTCAAGTGCCTTTTGTCCACTCACCAGAACTAATGCTGCAGCGCCATCACTAGACTTACAGCATACAAGAGGTCAAAATAAATCAAATGTATGCGCCTACTTTCTACATCTAGCAGCGACAGCGTTAACACAGGATTGTTCATGAAAAATACTAAAGGAACACCAGAAGCAGGTTCTCATTACTATCATATGTTTCAAGGACGCCAAAAAAAGCATGAAAAGAAATTTGTCGGCTGTGGCACATGCACGTGTGCTGAGGCAGAGAAAGAGAGACAGAGATAGAATACCTTATAATGGAAGCATTGCCTGCAGTGACAGAACCTCCATTCTCCTTGAAACTTGGTCTAAGCTTTTTTAGTTTGGAGGCATCAAACTAGCAAAACAAAAATGAAAAGAGGTTTGAACGTAAATAAGTGACTCAGCAGATCAAGGGATCAATTCCATTATTGGAAACCAAGCATGGACGGATAGAATTTTTGTCAAGAATGTATGGAAGGAGATAGGGAAATCAAGTATGTGTGTTTGACACTGTACATGGGAAAGAAAACCACCCGTGAAAATTGCCAAAATTCTACTGCCCAAGAGTATAACTGACTGGAATTAGATTAAAATGGATAAAGAACGTTTATCAATGACATTCAGAGACAGCTAAATTGCACATTGAAGCATTATTTTACTATAGAGTATTAGGCAAGAAATAGCTCAGGGATTTTCCTATAGCTAGTCAGATGCAGTTTCCCACATTAAGGGGTGAAAATATGCGTAAAGGATAGATAAAAAGGTAAAGCAGATTAAAAAGATTCGATCTACGAAAAAATAATCTCACATGGAAACAAAAAAAAA